TTTTACATTAGGAAAAATAAAAAATAAAAGAAAGGTGTCTCATTTTTCTTTTGTTTTTAAAGTTTGTTTCTTTTCATATTCTTTTTGACTTTAAAAAAAAAAAATAATAAAAAAATGATTGCAATAACTTAATAAAATTTTATTAGGTTTTAGCTATTTTTAAGTTTCTATGTCTTGTAGTAATTTAAATTAAAAGTTTACTGTTACTTGTAAGTAAATGTAACTTTAAATTTAAATTTAATAAAAAAAATTTTAATTTAATGTACCCAAAATTTATGATTATATATATATTTATATTTTACCTTTTTTACCATTTTTACCATTTTTACCTATTATCTTGACATTCGGGGAATATACACACACACACACGCACATCTCTTTAAAAAATAATAATTTTAAAGAATTGTGAATATTCAAATGTTTATCAAACACCACTCTAAAATGTTCACATTAAGTGAGCATTAAAGCAAAATATGTTTCATTATTTATGTTACTAGCTGTCCAAACCTGTAAAATGCAGGTCTAGGTAAGTTTATTCCACACCGACCTCTATTTCTATGTTTATTCAACTATTTATCTATCCGCTATCGATCTCTATTTTAATAAAAACTAATATGCGCCCTTTTTTTTGCATACTTAAAGCTTATTAGAACATTACCCTGTTTTTTTATTTTGAAAGAAAAAGTCTGAATTTAACATTTCCTACTTTAAGAAAAAAAATAGTCTCTTTACTGCCTTACTGTGCATATTTACCTAATTGATTTTGTAAATACTTAACATAAGTATCTCTAACATGCGAATGGCATGCAGTAGTGTTGTAGTGCTAGAGCACTTGTTCATAAGCGAGAAGTTCCAAGTTAGATCCCCACCATTTCCCTGGTAGTACCACACTCAACTTACTTCTTTGCGCAGTTGCCTTGTTTGTATTTCAGAGTTAAAGAGTTATGAGAGGGTTGTAACCACAATAAAGTAGTAAAAAGTTTTTAGCTACAATAAAGCCTCTCATAAAGACTATATTTATTTACTAAGCAAAAAGGGACCCAGAAAATGGGTTATGGGAAGCTAGGTATGTTAAATAAGTTTAAATTATCTATTAAATCTAAAGTTAATCTATTAAATTTTTCTTGTAGGTAATTTAATGTCAAATCAGCTGAAAAAACCAAATATTGCCACCTCAATGTTTTGGTTTTTGCTAATTTTTTTATATGTAAAGAGTTTTTGAAAATTAGGAAAATCTGAAATTTAGAACCTCCAACTCCTTAAAGTTCTTGAGATATTCAGGTTTCCATTTTCTTTTTTATGCTCAGTATTTTCAAAATGAGGTATCATTCCTGAAATTTAGTACATTGACAATCTTCCACACAGTGGATACAAATATCAAAATAATTTTTAAAACCACTTTAAATACATGAAAATTGAATAATAAAGGCATATATTTTTTGGTTTTTGAGGGTCAAATAGTGATGAAAAGGCATATATTTTGTGGTATTTTGAGAGTCAAAATGGTGACCTTGTAAATTTTTTTGAGATGATATTCTAACTAATATAGGTATCAAAGTTAAGGCGGGGGGGGGGGACTCAATTAGGCATATCCCCCCCCCCCCCCCCATCCCTTCTCTATCTTTCTTGATAGAAAGATAGAGAAGGGATGGGGGGGGGGTTATATTTATTTCTTTACTTAATATTAAAGGTAACATTTCTCTTCCTGTAAGAAGGATGGGGGGGGGGTTATATTTATACCAATTAATTAATGTACAATTTTTTAAAAAAGGTAAGTCAACAAACTGATGTTCAGACATTTAACTTTGTGCAGAAACTGGTTGTGCAGCAGAATATTTATAATCATATGAATTATGTAGCTTGCAAGTATGACAAATTTTGATGAATTGGAATTATGCTACATAATTGAAAAAGATAAAGGAGAAGGAGATTATAAAATTCAATTTATGCATCCACATGGTCCCTGCCCAAGTTTTCTTGGCCAACACAAGGAGATAGGTATTGGATCCCATCAAATCATGTTTTATGTACCATTGATCTGCTATCTGCAAAAAATTGGCAAAAATTGTTGAACAAAATAATCAAGATTTATAGAAAAAATTTGTAATTTCATTATTTTTAAATTTATGTTATCTTTTCAAGATTATTTTTATATTTATGTTATCTTTTCAAGTATAGTTACGATATAACTATGTGTAATTTGGACACAAAAAAATTTTCCTGGTCACTTGTCTTTATGTGTTTAACAAAAAAAAAAAAAAAAGAGGGATGGTTTGGTCAAATGCCTAATTGTTACCTCCCCTGTACTGTAAGTTCTCCTTGAGTATAAAAATTTTCAATAAAGTATAAATTTATTACTACCCTCAAAAAGACTCTAAAAATAACTTTTTACAGCATAAAATTAAGATAAAGCTAATTTTTTCATAAATAAGTTTACAATAAATTTTATGCCAATTTGGCATGTAAGGAGATGTAAGCAATTTTTCTGCAATAAATATACTACAAAGAAAACCTTCAATTAAATTTTTAATACTAGTATTGGTGGAATAATAAATTAGGATGAAATTTTAAGCAAGCAGAATTATCTAGGAGGGGAGAGAGAGAGTGACTGCAAATTAATAATTATTGTTATAAATTTTCATAAAACATTTGATTTTGAAATCTTATCGAAAGCATTAGTAGTGCTAATTAAAATTAGCTTGGTAATAATAAATGTTTTTTAATCTTGTCAGTTTTTTTAAAATACAAGAGCATAAATAAAAGAAATTCAACTTTTAATTGTTTAAAAAGTTTTAAAGTTTCCTTATATTATACATACACAATCCTTAAATATACGATCCGCAAACTCAACTTACCTTGTCAGTAGTACTGATGTTTACACTTATAGATGTTTGTACATAACATACAGTTTGTACATGACGTTATATTAGTAGATTTTTTACTTTTTTTTTTTTTTTAGATAAAGTATTGTTGTTTATAAATCTTTTTTTATAAATTTCTACGCATTGCAGCATGTATTTCTTTTATAGATGCAATCGTGTTATGCAATATAGTTGCTCTTATTTAGAGTACCAACTTAAAAAGTGTTGAACCATTATAATCGGTATAAAAAGATTATATTTTGGTTTATAAATGTTTAGTGGTTTGATGGGCTGTTCTTTGTACCAACAGTACCAAACCTAGTAGTTTGGTGGTCCTTTGTGTTAAAAGACTTTTTCTCACCATTAATTTGGCTCTAATAGTTGCCAAGAGTTCATGCACAAGTGGGTACTATTACTACTATTAAGTTCAGCATTATTATATAGAGATGTGTGTAGGCGTGTATGTATGTGTATGCATATGTGCATTTATGTGTGTGTATGTCTATATATATATGTATGTATGATTGTGTATCTGTATTTGTATGTGTATATGTGTATTTGTATTTATGTATACATGCATTTATGCAAGTGTATATATATGTGTGTATATATAAGCCCCAAGGCTGAGAAGGCCACTACAGTTGAGGAGGCTGTTTTTGTAACAACCCTCTCTCAACTCTATAACTCAGAAACACGAACCTTGAAGAACAAGGTTACTGTGCGAAGAAACAAGTTTGTGAGAGATGTAACAAACTACAAATGTATGTTTATACTTATGTCAAATAATAATGCTTTGCAAAAAATTGCAAAAATGTCTAAAAAATTTGTCTGAAACTGCCTCAAACATGAGAGTAAAGTTGATAAAGTATTTTTTTTTTTACTTTTTTTCTTAACTAAATTCATATTCATCAATTAATTTAAAATTTATGTATTAATCTTGCAGTGTTTAAAGTTATGACAGTATTAAATTTGAACCCCCTCATTATTAGTTTACTTAATATTAAAGGTAACATTAAACTTAATATTAATATTAATTAATTGATCGTGAATTGCAATACCTGGAAATGCTTCCAGTTATTAAATTTTTAGCTTTTTAAAAACTGTAAACTCTGTTTTTATTTAAACTCAATAGCTAGTATTCTATAAAAAAATAATTATATTGATTTTGAATTATGATATAAAATCTCATTATTATACAAATAAAAATACCAAAAAAAAAATTTTTTTATTATTGTTAAAATAATTTAAATTTTAATATTTTAATTCATTTTATAAATCATCAGTGAAAACTAGAAAAATAAAGCATACAGTACAATGTAATAATAATAAACTACCGCAAGTCACAACATTCTAAAGGAATTTAGCGGTGAATTCAAGTAAAAAAAATTGCAAAATCAGATATAAAACATTTTTATATCTTATTTAAATCTTATTCGATGATTTTTATATCTTATTTAAATCTAATTCGATGTTTTCTTATAAATGCTGCTAACTCTTTAGCAGATACAAAGTTAAAGACAAAATTAAAGTCGATAAATATATAAAAACGTATTTAATCTTTTTATAGTTATTTTAAAACAAAAGTTCAAAAAACTCTAATAAGTTATTTTAAAATATATCTTATTATTTTTATTATTAATTAATAAATTTTTAATTTAAAACATTTAATTTTTTAAATAATTCCTCAAAGTTTCCCCCTAAACAAAAATCAATTTTAATGTTTCAAACAATGCGTAAATAGCTTAAATATAATTTTTTATTGGTTGATTTTTAAATTACTGTGCAGATTTTTTTGGACCTTTATTCAGAAATATATAATTGATTGAATTGATTTATTGGTAAGTAAAATTGATTTATTGGTAAGCACACCTTTAAGTAAAATAACTCAGCAAACTTTTGAAGATGGTAATCAGAATGTTTTGATAATTATTTTTAAACTTTTGAAAACAGTAAAGAAACATGAATCTTTCAGTCTTGTATTTAACAAATGTTTTCATGTTTATTGATTTGTCTGTAGATCAAAAAAATAATTTTCCTTTTTTCTGCTAATAATAATCAGAAATGTTGCTGAAGAATAATAAATAAAAAAATAATTTGATTTTAACTGTTATATTTTCATAATTCATGTTACTTATTTAGGTATATAATGAGGAAAATACCAAGGTTTTGCATTATCTAGACTGTCAAGATGAAGAAAAAAGTGATTGGATGAGATTTGTTAATTGTGCTCGATTTGAGGAAGAACAAAACTTGATCGCTGAACAATATGGTGATTCAATATATTATAAAGCATACAAAAAGATAAATCCAGGGGAGGTGAGTAGTAAGTATTATAAATAATAAATAATAAATACGTACTGAAAAAATATTTCAAGCATTATTTTGTACACTACCCTAGAACAATGTTTTGAATTTTGTAAACAACTGGTTAATATTCATACAGAGTTTGAGATGAGCATCTTCCTGTCAGGTTGTCTAGTGTCAAATTTGTTCAGTTGGGCAAGACAGATAAAAAAATCAAAAAATAAATCATTTGACATATTATTTTGACATAATTCATCCTCATTAATTACAATTTCAAAAAAATGTTTTAGTTTTTCCATTTAACTTAAAACAAGTTTTAAAAATGATAAAAGAAGAAAATGTTAAAAATGACATCTGGATCCTTTAATAAATAAAGCACTCAACTTTTTCAATTCTAATCATTTTTAAGTAAACGTTATGGTTTAACAAATTGTATTCTAACAGGACAGGGTTGCCACTCAACCTGGAAAACCTGGAATACCTGGAAATAGCATGAATCCCAGGGAAAACCTGGAAAACTCATGAATTTTTTTAAAATTTTCATGAAATTTAGGGAAAACTCGGAAAATAATTTTTTTTGAAATTTTGTACAATAATTTTTTTTTCAAAAATATTTTCCTAATACATATAATAATAAGTTTGCAAGATGTAGGTGTTTTTGTAAAAGTTTTAGTTTGTCAAATATAAAGATTGTGCAATTAAGGAAAATAATTATCTTGTTGATGAACAGGAAAGAATATAGGAAAGTCAGGGAAAACTCAGGGAACTTAAACAGTTCAACTCAGGGAAAAACTTTAAAAATTATAGTGGCAACCCTGCAGGAGTATTTTTTTAATTCTTAAAAGTAAAAAATTTTTTTAATTCTTAAAAGTAAAAAATTTTTTTAATTCTTAAAAGTCAAATACTTTGTCTTGACCAGGATCTTAAAAAAACACCTAGCATTCTGATTTTGGTATAATTTTATGATATTTGAATGCAATTGGGAAGGGAAATAATGCAGAAGAGTAAAGCTTGCCTAGATGACCTCTGAGAAAGAATATATGTAAAAGTGAAAGAAGACCTTTTGTGTTAAAAATTGAAGATGGAATAGTATGTTAAGAGAACAAAGCTTGATTGACAATTGCCATGATTACCTTTTTATTAATTTTTTTGTGAGCACTAAACTTCAAAGTTTATGAAACATTACATTGTATATTGGTTTCTAGTTTTTTTAATACAAGTTTCTCTGCATATGATTGTAGTTAGTATATACTATTGAATTGTTATATATATCAAACAATTAGGTGGCAGTAATAAAATCTTTTTTTTTCTAATGATTTTTTTTTTAAGTATTTTTTAACAGTTGAATCTGATCAAATTTGCATTTTTTTTCAAGTCAGTTCACCTAATTTTTCATTTACTCTAAGATGCCCAAATATATCTAGAAGACACCCTAATATATTTAGAAGACTCCCTAATATATTTTTAAAATGTTTTTACTTAGATAATAAACAAATATATAAAAGAGTGTCTCCCTTGAGTATATGAGTTTTTTTGTTATATTAATAGTTAACTTAAAAAAGTTTTTAGTTAAGTTTGAAATATAAATCAAAAATATTATATAAATATTATATCATAAAAATCCTAAATATTACTTCAGGAGCTCTTAGTATGGTATGGTAATGCTTATGGCAATGAACTGCGAGAGATGTTCATCCCTTCGATAATCCCTTTGTCTAGTCCAAACACAAAGAACAAGATTTCTCCATCCAATGAGAATTTTCAAGAAATTTCTCAAACAATTTCTGATCAAAAGATTATAAAAAAGCAAAATTTAAAAAAATTAGAAACTCCAGATAATTTGGATCATGTCTCAGGTAGTTTTTTTTATTACTTTGTTGTTTTTGAACGCTTTAATGTTTTAGTTTACATTGTTTTGGTTATACTTTATTAACTTGATAATAGTTACAGTTGTTATTAATACTTACATTATCTATTACAGGCTAATTTTTTTTTTCCTTCCATGTTAATTCACCTTGCATAAGTTAAGAAGGTCACTACACTAGAGGAGGCTACTTTAGTTATGATTACAATCCTCTTTCCACTTTCTAACTCTAAAATACAAACCTTGACAAATAAGGCCACTTTACAGAGAATTAATTTGTAATAATTTGAAAGATAAAATCCTTGTTTTTATTTTGGAGCAAATTGGTTTTAAAAGAATTGCAACAATTTTTTACAATCTTTTTTCAGTTTTGGTTGTAATGTAAATAGTTCTGGTTGGTTGATTAAAAATTTTTTGTTTTTTCGTTAATACTTCTATTAGAAACTATTTTTGATAGTTTGAAATATAACATTAAAAAACCAAGTTACTGTAATATATATATATATATATATATATATATATATATATATATATATATATATATATATATATATATATATATATATATATATAAAAATCAGAAGAGCATTTAAGTTTTTGAATCCTCAAGTTTTTATTGAAATTAATGAAAGTAACTGTAATAATATATATATATTATTTTAATGCAAGAACTTATTGGACACTCATTAATAAAAACTTTTTTTATCCAATATATCTTTACCATTTTGGACCTAAAGAACGAATATGTTTTTTAAAACAAAAGTCACGCGCCATGATAGATACCTAAAGACATGGTGGGTGCCATATATTATCAAAAATATTTGTCTCCCAAAGTATATTAAGTTTACTTATATAAACGCTATCACACTTCTTGATCCTTATGGATTACAAGAGCAACAATCGTTAACTGCTAATTGATCTCTATTCTTATTCTATGCTTTGTTTGTGTCTGCTTTTCCAACAATTTCAGCATCATCCTTCATCCTTGCTGTTTCTTTGCCAATCTCTATCTCTACATAACTCATTCAGTCATTCATTCATTCGTTTTGCAGTCCATGTCTTATCTTAAGTACTTAACATGGCACGGCATCTTGTCCACTTTGACTACTTGATCCGATAAATCTTGAGTGAGAGTACCTGGATGTTACTTAGTTACACAACTCGCCTCAGGGGGTTTCAGCCACATGTTCAACAACTCAAGAACTTTTTTTGCTTCCTCACTAACATGTCAATTTTTTGTTCCAATTTTTTAACTTTCCTTATAATTATACAATTTGTCCTTTGAGCTCGCTCCTGTTTTTTTAGTAAAGATGTTATACCAATATAAGGCTTTTGCTTAATAGTGCAGTGATTTCTCTCAAGGATGCCATTTCTCAAGGGACAATATTCATACTCTCATTCTAAGCAACTAGTCACACAAGGTTTTGAACTTATTCATGATTTAAAATAACTTAAAAAAAATATTTTAAAAAAATACTCCTTTAAAAGAATTTTAAAAAGATATTAAAAAATAGTTTCAAACCTTTAAATTTGCCCTACATGTCTACATAAAAAAATATATATATATATAATATTTTTTGTTAATTACATTTACATAAATTAAATTTACATAAAAGGCATTTATTTTTGGCAATCTAGTATAAATTTGAACTTGGACGAGATCCTTTGCAGTCACAATTAGCTCTGAATCAAAAAATCATTTTGCACTGGAAAACTGTGAAAGAATAATAAAAGTATTTTTTAGTTCATTTTTGACTAATTTTACAACCACTAAAAATCATGTTTTTAAGTATGGCTAAGAATGGTAAACTAGAATTAAAAAACTTGAAGAAAAAAAGATCGTTCACTTTTAGTTTGAGCCAAACTGTTCCTTTAGGTGAAGCATCTTTAGCAAAAATGGCAGATACTTCTATTTGTTCTGCAACTAAGGAGAACATTGAGCTTTAGATGTCCTACTTGACAGATAAGGCAGACACAGAGTTGTGTCGTGTACTTGAATGGATTCAAAGAAGAATAGCTTTGGTAGAACAATCTCTTCTCCCTCAATTTTTCTTTGTAATATCAATAAACTTCACAGACACAGTATGTTCAATTCAAAATCAAATTCTTTTTTACAAAATATTGAAATTTGACTTGTCAACAAAGGTGACAGAATTCGACAGCGTTTCTTCATGTCCAAAAAGCAAACAGTCTAGGGTACTTCAACATTTTACAACATTTTTTTTTAATATTATCATCTCCTTTTTTATTGTAGGAAGTTAAATGAAGATATGAAATATAAGAATGCAAAAATATTTAGCTCCTTGTATTTGAATTTTTTATATTTAATAATTATTCGAAATTTGAAATTTTTTTTTAGGAAAAAATCATAGAAGTGAGTATCGTAATAGCAACTCAGGTGTTTCTAAAACGTTTGAATGTCCGGACTGCTTTTTGACGTTTTCTGATGAACTATATTTACAGACTCACAAGCGCGCTTTTCATTCAAATATAAAAAGCTATTCTTGTTCTTCTTGCTTCAGAAAGTTTGTTAGAGCCGATAATTTGTATTTGCATATTTCCGCTGTTCACGAAAAGGTATCACCATTAGTATGCAATATATGCAATCGATGTTTTGAACAAACCGGTTTGTTAGAGCAACATTTAAAGTTACACTGTGAAAAGTGTGGAACACCTCATAATGATGCAAGCAGTTTAAGGAAACATATTAAACATTGTCATTCGGTATCCGATGGTGATCTATCCGAGGATACCTTTAAAGTATTTTGTGATGGGTGTGATACAACTTTTACTGATATTAAACGACACTTTCGTGTAATTCACAAAAGAAAAATTCAAAGCAAATGTGCTGTGTGCGGGGAATGTTATGTGAATTTAGGCTCTCATATGGCCAAGCACAAAATAAAACTTGAGCCAATTGAAGACTAGCGCTCTTTATTAGTATTATTTTCGTGTATTTCACTAAAGTTCAAAGCAATCTTTTTGTTCGTGGAGATATTTGTGTGAATTTAGGCTCTCATATGGCCAAGCACGAAATAAAACTTGCGTCGAATCTAGCGCTCGGTTGTTTTACACTAAAAAAAATTGTTATATTCTAAAATAGTATAACGACAAAACTTTGTTATTTCACACTTAAAAATTACAACATAACATTAATATAAAAAACTAACAACATAACATCAATATAAAAACTAACAACATAACATCAATATAAAACACTAACAACATAACATCAATATAAAACACTAACAACATAACTTCAATATAAAAAACTAACAACATAACATCAATATAAAAACTAACAACATAACTTCAATATAGCGTTATTATAAAATTAAAATAATGTTATATTTGGATATAACAACAGTATAACAAAAATATTTATTGTTATATAGATGAAAAAAATTTGTTATTTCGCGCAACGTATTGATGTAATATTTGTGTTCATTAATAACGTCGTTTTTAATTAGTATAACAACATTTATTTCTTATAAAATAAAAAATTAAAAAAATATTATACATACAAAAAAATCTCTACCTATTACTTTTTTACCTTTTATTTTTGATATATATAAATAATCTCTTAGCATATCCTATTTAGGACTTGAATAAACCTTTTTTTTTTAAAAATAGTCAGTTGCTTTAACCGATTTAAAAGTATCCTTTAAAATAATTTCTTGTAAAACACCAAGTGCGCATAACTTAATTAATATATCAGGTCCATTAGGGAGTAAACAGCAATGATGCTACAAAATACTTCACTGGCTGATGTTATCGGTGCTTTCCTCAGTTCGCATCCATTTCTGTTCTGAATCGCAAAATGGATTTTGTTAAAAACCATTTGTGACCCGGTGTTAAGAATTCCAGTATTTCATCCAGATTATCCAACTTTAATTAAATAAAATTTATCAACTAAAATTAATGTTGCAGAGTAATCTATGCAGTAAATTAAGCGCTATCCTGCATTAATTGGAGTACATCCGCAGAACACTGAAGACATTATCTTGCGATTTTAATAACTTAATTTTAGTCTTCAATAAGCAGCCGTGGCGCAGTGGCCTCAGAAACGTAAGGTCCGTGGTTCAAACCCCACCTTTGGGCAAGTTTTGCGGCATCGGTTGGGAAGGAGGGGTGAACTTCCTGTTAAATGCGATTCCGCGGTGCTCTGTGATATGACCGTAAGGACTTCTTGGGGCATCTAAATCAACTTGAAAAAAAAAAAAAAAAAACTTTGAATAATCCGACTCGTCTATACCACAAAATTCTTTAGAATTTCTACAAATCTGCAAGTTTTCAGAATATTTGGGACTCAAATATTTCTATTTAAAACTGCAAAAACTTAAGTTGAAGGCTTATTCTTCAGCAGCTTAATCTGATATCAAAGATGAAAACTTCTCAGGCTGTAGTTTTAGGACAACTTATTATCTATATATTTATAGATAAAAACCTCCTAAAAACATTATCATAACTAAACAATATTTTGTCACAATTGCATAATTAAACAACATTTTCTTTTAGAATCTGTTTTAAATTTTTCTAGTGAGTAGTGTCCTTTATTGAACTTTTTAATAAAAATTTTTCGATAAAAAAAGGCCTCGATATTGAAATCGATAAACCGAACTTATTTTTAAATTAATTCTCGGAACAATAAAGTTATTCTCTGAAAACTTTGTTGGATACTTATGAGATGTTTCACTAAAATAAGATTGAAATATAAGTGGAGATATTCCATGCGCCATTTTAATCATGAAAAGTAACATTTGGTAAATGTTTATTAATAAATATTTAAGGCTTTGAGGCGATTTAATATTGGTTCACAATACACAGTTCTGTTTGCCCCAAATACAATCCTACAAGGATTTCAATATTTCCTACAATATTTCAACTGAATACGCAATTATTCAATTTGTTTGGGAAATCTCCGAATCTTTCGAAAAAAAACAATACACCCCATTGATCTTTCGAAGGCTTTCGATACCGTTGACCATAAAATATTGCTTAAAAGGCTCGAATACTATGGAATCAATAACAATATGCTAAAATAATTTCATAATTACTTATCAAATAGAAAGCAGTTTGTTACCTCTAACAATGGCCGTCAAAGTCTATGTTGAAATAACCTGTGGTGTTCCACAAGGCTCTATTTTAGGTCCTCTTATGTTTTTAATTTATATTAATGATTTAAGTAAAGCGGCTAATCTTCGGAGTATTATGTTTGCTGATGATACGAATTTGTTCTTATCAAACAGTAATATTAATGAGCTATTTTCTAATATGAATAAAGAATATAAATGCGTATCTGAGTGGTTTAAATGTAACAAATTAACCTTAAACTTTGATTAAACAAAATACATTCTGTTTCACACCATATCTAAAAAACGTTTTTTACCAACAACCATGCCAAAAATTCTATTGATGAATTTGAAATATAAAATGAAACTTTTACTAGTTTTCTTAGTATTTATCTGGATGAGTATGTTACATGGAAACCGTATATTGACTACATTTGCACTAAAGTTTCTAAAAATATTAGAGCCCTCTATAAGTCAAGAAATTATTTGAACAAAACCATTTTAATCCAACTCTATTACTCATTTATACATATTTATATTAACTATACAAATATTGCTTGGGGAAGTACAAGCAAAAGTAAGTTGCGTACTCTTTATCTTCGTCAGAATCACGCAATACGCTTAGTTTGTTTTGAAAATCGACTTACGCATTCAAAGTTTTTGTTTAAAAATATTAAAGTACTTAATATTTATCAAGTGAATGTATATAGAATATTGGTTTATGTTTCAATGTAAAATCACTCCCCCATTACACATTTTTAAAGATTTTATTACCTTAAAAACAAAAATAAGTATACAGTACGAAATGATAACTTACTCTAAGAACTCTTTTGTCGAACAAAATTCAATCAATTCTGTATTATCGTGCACCTTATCTCTGGAACAAAATTTTTTTACATAATTTTGATTTATCAGTTAGCTTTTCAGTCTTTAAAAAGAAATTAAAAGAATTCATTTTTTTTAATGAGAATATTTTGAAATAATTTTAAAAATAAAAAATTTATATAAACACGTTCTTTTGTTTTTGTATTTTGTCATTTTTATTTGCTTATATTTATTAATGGCTTAAGTTATATTTTATTATAATATTTTATTGTTCTGGCGACAATATCATTAGGTCTTCTATCAGATACTAAGTTTTTATTTAAACTAGTCTATTTCTTTTTTTGTTATTTTTGCTTTTATTCTTATTGATATGGTGATTATATTCTCTATTATAATTTATTAAAACTATAAAAACTCCAATATTTGTAAATGTAAAACTTTGTATTAAAAAAAAGGAAAATTTATATATACAAAGTATATGTATGTATGTGTATATATATGTATGTTTGTAAGTGTTTGTATTTATATCAGGGTCGGCACCCAAAAACCCAAGAGCAAAAACTCACCAAAAACCCAATTTAATAGGTTTTTGGTCTTAAATTTTTTATTTATAATATTTTTTATTCATAAATTAATTTCCATTTACACTCAAGATTTGATGCTGCTCAAAAATTTTTCTAAAAACAAGAAGTTTAGTGAATCATAAATGAGATTTCATTTTATTTGGAGTAGTAATATTCAAACTTAAAGGTTTAAAACAAAGTTATCTAACAATTTAGTCATCAGCAATTGTTCATCTTGACCTTAATGTATGTAAATTCGTACAAGCATTTTTGCTTTTCCTCTTCCTAAAAGTATCCTAATTTTCCAAAATACCTTTCTTCCCTCTCATTGATACTTTGACATGTTTATGTCAAATAAAGTCGTATAATTCATTCTATTTTAAATTTGACTAAAAAGATAACTCAATTTAACAATAGATTTATATTAGAAAAAATTTAATCTGCTTATTAATTAAGCTTTTGTATAAGAAAATATAACTTTAAAAAATAAAAAAATAGCTTTTAAATAACTAAAAATTTATCAAACTTTGTTACTAAAGATTTGTACGCAATTTAAGTAAAAACCCAAAAACCCAAAAACCCACCCAAAAACCCACCCAAAAACCCACCTAAAAACCCAGTTGGCTTGGGTTTTTGCTCAAAAACCCGGGTTTTTTGCCAACCCTGATTTATATATGTATATGTATAAATAAAAAATAAATTAATAAAAAGTTATCAGACCAGAATACATTGGTTAAAACGACAATTTTTCAGTATCTACCCTACGGACACTTATTTTTCAAAGTTACGTTCTAAATGCCTTTTAAACGTCTTTTAAAGGTTCTTTACGTAAGAATATTTAGCAGACGTTTAAAAGACATTTAAAATACATTAAGAACGTAACTTTGAAAAACAAATGACAGTTGGGTACGTCTTTATTGATTGCCAAGAATTTGAAACGATTTAAAATAAGAAATAAAAGTGTTAATTTATTAAAACTGAAAAACGAACTTTGAGAAGATTTAAAAGAAGAAAAAAAATATTTATTTTTAAAAAAAAACTGAAGATTTGGATGTTTAACAACTAAAAATAACTGAGATTTTGAACAAATTTATGATATAAAAACTCGAAATAAAATTATACACAATACTCGAAAAAAGCAATTGAAATTTAATTAAATGGATCCTCTTACCGAAATAAACAATTACCGATAAGACAACTTTTATTTACCGATAAGACAATTTAAGCAAGTGAACATTTTATAAATGCAACAAATTTCAGAGTTGGTAAACACTTTATAAATGCAACAAATTTTAGAGATCGAAAGAACCAATAATCACCATAAACAAGTTATAAAGATAAAAGTGTAAACTGTATTATTGAAATATATTAAATAAAAACTAAAAAAAAAAAAAAACAGAACTGTGTATTGTGATACACAGTTCTGTTTTTTGAAATTTAATTAAATGGATTTAATTAAATTAAATGGATTTAATTAAATTAAATTTAATTAAATCCTCTTACTGAAATAAACAATTACGCTCCACTTTAAAA